CGAGGCCTTGTGTTGTTCAGATTTGACCTGACCTGAGATGAACTGCAGGTGTGTCCAGTGTCAGGACTTCCTGCTGCCACACTTCAAAAGAGAAAAAAAACCTGAACTGTGCCTTTAAGTCATCTTCAGTAAATGTGGATCCTGAACCAGACCCAGCCTTAAAAACCAGGAGCAGGAGTGAGTGGCAGCGTCTGGTTTTGGTGTAGAGATCAAGATCAAAGAGAGAGAACAGGTCGGACTGACCAGCTGAAACCTGGAGGTCTGGACGGGATCAAGGTTCAGGTGTAGACCAGGGTTCAAGGCTCAAGGTTCAGGTGTCAAGGTTCAGGTGTAGGGGTTCAAGGCTCAAGGTTCAGGTGTAGACCAGGGTTCAAGGCTCAAGGTTCAGGTGTAGACCAGGGTTCAAGGCTCAAGGTTCAGGATCAGGGCCCAGTTCTGATCCGAGTCTCTGTACAAGAAAAAGGAGGAGGAACCTGAAGGCAACGTGTGTAAACTGATCTGTGAATGCACCGATTGTAGGTGTGTGTGTGTGTGTGTGTGAAACACACACAACAATAAACAAAGACATCACTCACAGAAGCCCATAAAGAAAACCAACAAATTATTTTATAAAGTTAAACAGCTTTTATTGGGAACATGAACCAACTAAACGTCAATAGCTTTCATCCCAAACTTCTGACTTTATTATCCTGATTTTATATTTTTATTTTATTTTAAGAACATTGACCTTAACCTTAAAACGTAACCTAAAATACAACAGGATTACGTAATAAATAATAATATTATAAAACTATATCCTGAAACATTTCCTATGTACCAATCCTCGTTTATAAAAGTGCTGATTTTACCCCTTCGTCCTTACGTTTCTTTTAGGTGTTTTTTCTCTAGTCTGCACATGTTTTAAGTGGTTTATCACAAAAAGCATATTCTCAGTGTGTCTGTTTGTGTGTATATGTGCGAGTGGACATGACTCAGCAGGTCTCACACTGAAACAAAAGCCGAAACACGCAGTAAACAATTTTGGCCAGTTTTTCAATGGGACTTTTGTATTGTCTCTGCCGCTGCTGCTCTGCAGGCTCCAACAAACATCCACCTGTATCGATGGCTGCAGGTGAAACACAGGTGGGGCGTTTGGGGGTTGGGGGGTAGTTGGCTAAATTGTGAGGGGGTATCGATGTGTGACGTGACATGTGGGCGGGGCCCCGGGGTGTAGGCGCGTGGCAGAGTGGAGTTAGTTTATTAGGTAGACGAAGGCTCCCTGAGCATCAGAGCAGCCTGAGGACCAAACTCCCTTCAGTTTTCTCTCCATTTTCGAGCAAATCACGGTTTTTTTTACTAACGCCGTGGAAACTACAGGAAACCAACTCTCACACAGGAGTCAACGCATCCCTGGCAGCAAATCGGGATAAATTAATTATATCCATCGACTTGACACCTGGCACCAGGAGATCTGTCTTAGAGTACAAGCTTAAAGGTAAGAAGTTGGGTTTTTTTAATTATTTCTTTTCGCCAAAAGATGCTGCCGTTAATTTAAAATAAAATTAAGAACTTTGAAAAGTGAGGAGAAACGATCAATTAATGTTTGTTGTTACTCTATAGGTTTGCGCAATATTTCTATCTTCTCTTGACTTGAGTGATCTAATCCTGTTTTTCAGAATGTGTCGTTGTTCTTAGTTTCCCAAAACTTACGAAAAATCTCTTTGTTGACATTTGTTCCGTATTTTGAGAAACACGGTCATTTAATAGCAATTTTTGACATTTTCTTTACACTTTTAAAATAAATAAAAACTTGTATGTTTTGTCTTAAATTTAATTGTAAAAATGCTGGGATTACATTATTGAAATTCCCAGAGTCAGAATAGCAGACTGTCATCTCAGTGTTAGATTAAGCTGAATCTCTAACTCTGATATTAGGCCAAACATTTTAATTCTAATCTATTAATTGTGATTTAATATATATTGATCTTTGTTGATTTCAAATATCAGAATTCTGAGATTAATTAAAATATTAAATTAGCTCACTCTGCAGCCTTACACCTGACCTGAAAGTCATCAGTGATTTTCATCTACAGTTACGGACTTTCACTGAAGTTCAATTTTTTCCTGTTTTTTTCCTCAGCCATGACCTTTGACCCCCAGATGATAAGAACGATGCTGGTGACCTTCGTGATCCTGACCCTCAGCGTCTGCTCCGAGGCCCGTGTCAGACTCAACTCCATCAGGACAGTGATTCTGAGAGAAGGTCACTCTCTGCCTGTGAACCGCAGCAGCTGGGAGCCCAGTCTGACGGTGAGGTCACACACTGCACCACTGCTCTGAATGTCCTCATTTCTGTCATTCTTCTAACACAGGAGGCAGTCATTCAAAACAGGATGTTGTTTCCCTGAAAGAGATAAAACTTTGCCATCATATGACAAGAACCTTGCAATACAAAAAAAACCCCACAAAGATTTAAATTAACAATATAGATAAAATATTTAGAATAACAAAGTGGAAGATGAAATTAGCTAAAAGCTAGAAACGTAAGGGAGACATTTAGATTTTAGGTTTTTTTAGCTAAAAATAGATTAAAATGGGTTAAAAAAACTGCCCAAAATGGGTTAGAGTTAATCAAAAGTGTACCAGAGAATAGTTAAAATTAACACAGCAAAAGCTACTACTGTTGATAACAATCTGATGAAATATGTACACAGAAGATAAAAACTAAGGAAAAAAACAGCTAAGAATTATTGAAAGTGAAGAATGAGAACAAGCCAAGGTACTGTGTATTGACGGTGTTTTTCTTTATGTGTGTAGTTGTATCAGTGCATGAGTGACCTGGAGTGCAGCGAGGGCAGCTACTGCCACGCCCCCTCCAAAGGCCCCGCCCATTCCAGGTGCCAGAGCTGCCGCAGAAGGAAGAGACGTTGCCATAGAGATGGCATGTGTTGCCCTGGCAACCGCTGCAGCAACAGTAGGTCTTTATAAAAAATAATTTATACAAAAATACATTTTGTATGAAAATTATTAAATACAGTTTTCTCTTCTTCTGTCAGATGTTTGTATCCCAGACGGAGGCAGGTTTGTCTCTCAGAAGATTCCAGACTCTGATGGAGACCAGAGCCTGAAACAGAGAGGATGGAAGAAGAAAGGGAGACTGGAGGTCAGAGGGGTCAGCAGTAAAGGTCAGTGACTGCTCTAAAAAAATGTGTTTAAAAAAGTTCATTTTCTCATATTTTATGGGTTTTATTCCTTAATACATGTTTTATTATAAAACACCAATGTTAATGTATTTATTTTTTTAATATTTTAAATTTGTTCTTGTAATTTCAAATCAGAAATTGTGAAGTGAAATGTTTAATATTATAGTTTTTATATTTTTGTTTTATTTAACCTTGAAAAATGGAGATATATCTTTAAAGACAATCTTTTCTGTTGTCCTCTAATGTCCTCAGGTCAGGTAGGCGAGCCCTGTCTCCGCTCCTCAGACTGTCTGGACGGCCTCTGCTGTGCTCGCCACTTCTGGACTCGGATCTGTAAGCCTGTGTTGCAGGAGGGACAGGTTTGTACGCGACACCGCAGGAAGGGGAACCACGGTCTGGAACTATTTCAGCGGTGTCCCTGTGGGGACGGACTGAGCTGCAGGACACTCCGGGATCCCAGAACTGCTTCATCGTCAAAAATGGCTGTGTCATTGTCTTCGTCCTCCTCCTCCTCCTCCTCACTGCTGATGGCTGCCGCAAAGTCCAAGTTTACCTCCTCGTCTCCTTCATCGTCTCACCTTTTGTCTCCTCTGAGTACTTCAGCCAAGTCTTCAGCAGTGGCGTCAAAAACCAGACTCCACGTGTGCCAGAAAAACTGAACTTGGACAAAGACAGGAAATAAAAGACAGAGGAGATTGAACGATGTCCAGTCATCTGGTTCTCGCGTCTTTTGCATCTTTTGGTCTGTCCTCTCAATCACAAACCTAAGTCCCTGTGTCCCTGTGTCCCCGTGTCCCGTCCACATCAAGAGAAAATACAGTTTGGTCCTCATCTCCTGCTCCCATGTCTCTACTGAGTCCACTGCTGTCCTGAGAATCCAAGGACTTTAGAGAAGCTAGTCCACGTGGAGACAGAGGACATTGTCCACTCCGTTTCATGGAGGTTTCTCCACTTCAGTTAGCAAAACTAAACATCTAAGACACTGAGACAATCCAAACTCCGAGGTTGGTCCACCCTGTCTCCTCCTCGTCCACACTACAACATCTTCCATCATTCATTTTACTGAGACACCTCTTCACTACAGAGTCTTCATCCAAACTAAGACTTCTGTCCAGAGGGAGACATCTTACGGCTGGTTCACGTGTGGACACCGGAGACTTAAAGACAACTGAAACAGCTGAGTCTGATGTCCCTTAGAGCTCTGGGACATGTCCTGTCAGTGCACTCTTCCTACTCTCAGAGAAAGAGAGAATGTAAAGTTGTTGTAAATATTGTTTATAAATATTTGGAAACGTTGCATTTGTGTGTAAAAAAATCAATCATCAATCTGTGGTTTTCAATAAAATCATTAGTGGATTTAAACAACGGCCATTTTGTTTGTTTTTTTGACACAAACACTGAACTCACCGTCATAACACAGTGGAACCTCGAGATGTGGGTCTAATCCATTCCACAACAGCTTGAATTTTCCATTAAAAATAACTAAAAACCAATTCATTTGTTCCAGCCCCCCATAAATATACTACTAATTAATTAAATTAACCCCTCATTTAAACATCAAAAACATAGATATAAACAAATAGATTGATAATATAAAATAATAATAATTAGGAATCATCAGCATCACCAACAGCTCAGTTCAGCACTAGATATTTGCCTGGTATCACGAGGACAGTCGTGCAGTAGTTACAGATCTGTAACATGGAAAACTGCTCGTATCTCGAGGTTCCACTGAAGATTTAAAAAAGACATTTTGTCCATAGAGGCACACTCGAAGTGCTGGACCACTGCTGCCTCCTGTGGTCAGTTTGTGTTACTAAGTTAGAGCTCAGTGGCCATGACTGCTGTGTGTGGACTGTGGACTGTGGACTGTGGACTGTGGAGCAGCAGCAGGAGCAGCAGCAGGAGCAGGAGCAGGAGCAGCAGGAGCAGGAGCAGGAGCAGGAGCAGCAGCAGGAGGCGCAGGGGGAAGGAGAGGGGGAAGGGGAGGCGGGCGC